CAGGACATTTTGAGAGCTGCTCATAGTCCCCTGGAACTAGTCGACTTAGGACAGCAAGGAGCAAAAACTGTCCTTTCTGTCCCTCTGACCAAATTGTTATAGGCCTCAAAGTATGTATATCCAAGAAGCAAGAAGATTGGTTCCACCTGTCTGGTACTTTTAATTACCATGTGCTATGAAGGTAAAGCTTTGGCAAATACCAAAGTTTCCCAGATAAACCTTGACTAGACATATATTTCTTGATCTGCTATGTATAATTTGTCAGTAGGTTGTTGGAGTAATATGGGTTCCCTCTGGTTTTTAAAACTAGCTAGGCATTATTTATCTCTCGCATTGTCTCACCCCTCCATCATGGTTTTCCCACTTAAGGTGCCCCCATTTCCCCCCATTTATCCCTTAATAATACCCTTCTCCTACAGCCCTACCTCTCTTGAGCTCCTTCTTTCCCTTTATCCCCTAAGATCCTTGTATACCCTTCCCTCCCCACTCCCTTAAACTAAACCAATTTTATTCCATATCTCCCTTATTAAGGCCTGTTTCCTACTGTTCTTCTCTTTCAGGTTATTTCTTTTCCTTTACCTCACTGTTTCCTTACCCTTGTCCTGGTTCCTGCAGTTATGTCTGTTTGCATACTTATTTATCAGAGTCTGATCCTAGGATCCACATATGAGGGAGAACATATGTCGATTTTTTTTCTGAGTCTGTGTTACTTCACTTAGTATAACAGTTTCTAGTTCCATCCGTTTACCTGCAAATTTCATGATTTCATCTTTATTGCTGAGTAAAACTCCATCGTATAAATGAACCACGTTTTCATTATCCCTTCGTCAATTGAGGGACACTTATGTTGCTTCCATCTCTTAGCTATTGTGAAAAGAGCAGCAACAAACATGGATATACAAGTGTCTCTGTAATAGGATGAGTTCTTTAGGTATATGCTAAGGAGTGGTAAAACTGGGTCAAATGGTAGGTTCATTTGTAGTTTTAAGAGTTCTCTATACTGCTTTCCATAGAACTGGGTAAGGAGAGGAGAGGGACAGTGACTTTGGGCACCGCTGGGGGAGGGAACTGCAGCTGCTGTTGGTGACATGGTGGGAAGGAATCTAGAAAAAAGAACAATGTAAGAGGAATTTTCAAGAGGTCAGCTGCAGAATATGGGGTTTAGCTTTCTCCGTTTCCATAAAATCATGTGAGTACATTTCACATTTTTCAGTAATATCTTTTTTTGGCCAAGTTGATTCAATTTTTGGAGGGGAAGACAGATACTGGGGAGCTCAAAGAGAAGGACAAAAGTTCAGCAGAAATTTAGGTTATGCTCACTCTTGGTGTCCCCTTTAAAGCCCCCAAGTATAGTTTCCTACCAGAGGAGAGAGAGTGGGAGAGAAGGTGGTGAAAACACTGAAAAGGCTGCTCCGGCGGGCCTCGGTGTGACGTCACTTCACGCTGCTCCTCCCAAAGCCAGAGAAGACACAAGCTGGAGAGAGAACCATTCCTTCCTCTCCAGCGACAATCTATGTGAGATGTGGAGCACGCTCCCAGGTGCGCGCACACTCTCCACGCCTAAGTGTGAACGTGAAGTCAGTAGCAGCAGGGCACCCAATCACTTAGGAAGTCGGGAGAGGCACTTTGGGACTGTTATTTAGAGCTGCTATTGTCCAGCAGTATAGAGGGGTTAACGACAACATTGCTCCAAGTCACGGAGCAAGCAAGTCACAGCTGGAACTGGAACCCAGGCCACCTCACCACACAGTCAGTTCTTTCTCACCCGATAGATTGTGATTAAGAGGAATACATTCAGAATCAGACATCTGGGCCTATCCCACCTGCCAGCGCTGAGTTCTAACTACAGCCTCCAAGGGAGTGTCCTACCTGCCAAGGCCAGGAGTGCCTCATTCATCACTCTGCACTCTGCAGCCACAGAGTGTAGGTATTCAGTAAATACCTGTGCAATGAGTATCATCAGATGTATGCCTGCCTTCCTAGGATGTCCGTCCTCTGTAACCAGTCTTCTCCTCTATTTACAAGTCAATAAAATGCACAAGCCAATGAGGAGGTATGTTGTATTGTGTTTGGAACAGGAAAGACAATGATTGCTCATAGGCCCTTAAGGTCTTTAAAATATATTAAAGTGTTGTTTGCATTACATCATGGAAACATTGACGGCCAGTAACCTTTTCTATATACGACCTTGAAATAACTCAGTTCTGTCCTAACTATAACCAGAACCAGACTCCCAATTGATAGTTCAGGTCACAGAGAAATATTATGCTGATTTGATTCTGAAGGGGAGGGGACAGGGAAAAGGAATGTGGTGGTCAAACTGAAATGGGCCCCATCATTCCTGGCTCACAGCTCTGGGAAGCCGTATGCAACCTCGCCTTTGTAAAGGTATCCTTGTATCCTCCTTTGATTTTCAGCTGGCTTTCAACTTCTCCCTCCTTCCCGCCTGCAGTGTCTATGTTCTCATTAGTTTCATTCGTTTTACAGCACTATCGTGAAGCTACCTGAGCAGCTGTGCTGTTGACAGTGACATTGTGGCTGTCGACTACTCCTATATGCCATCTTTCTTTCCCCTCCTCCTGTTCTAATTCCCGGTTAGGAGCTGTGTGATGACCATGTGATTCTTGTCTTTGAGCCCATTTATATGATTTATGACATTTATTGACTTATGTATATTGAACCATCCCTGCATCTCTGGAATAAAGCTGACTTGATCATGGTGGATGAGCTTTTTTATGTGTGTCTGTATGCAGTTTGCAAGTATCTTGTTGAGAAATTTTGCATCTGTGTTCATTAAGGATATGAGTTTTCCTTTTCTGGTTGTATCTTTACCTGGCTTTGGTATTAGAGTGATGCTGGCTTCAAAGAAGGAATTTTGAAATTCTCCCTCCATTTCTTTCTT